AAGTCATTCCAGGGGACCACTTTGCGTGCCATTGTTGTCGCTCCAAAAGTCACTGTCAGCCCATAGCCTTAAGGATCACGAGCCTACCTTGTAATCTGGCGGTGCGGATTAGGGCCTGCGTAGGGGCAGGGCGAATCTCGCAGTATCCCTAGCCCACGTGCGACCGGTGGTGGTTGCGCAGCAGCGAAGCGTCGGTACTGCGTTCCGGTGTACTGCTGATGCCTTTCGTTTTTTCTCCAAGTCATTATCTGATCGAAATTTTAATTTTTCTGATCCATCTGCGATCAGCACTTACCCTATCGCCTCGATACAGGTGTGTCTCGCATCGTCGAGAATAAAAGATTTATTTGTTTATTTATATCAAATGCGCCAATGTTCTAAGTAGGTGACACCAAGCTAGCAAAAGCCTTGACTACATGTAAGTGGGTTAAGCGGAGTTAATTTCTGGAATCCAACGTAAAAAAAGAAAATAAGTCATCAGCAGCACGTCGGCACACTGTACCGACATTTTCCTGCCACGCGACCACCACAAGTCGCGCGTGGGCTGCATACCGCGAGGACGTCTGCTCCTACATTGATACGAACCGGTGACCTAAGGACTGGAAACCAGGCGTGCAATGCTTTCGGCCACCGGCCGAACGGAGCCCAACGTGGCTGAACAGCCATGCTGATTTCGTTTGCGCCGCAATACAACCGACCCGGTGTTCCCGGTTCGTCAGTTGCAGGCGAGGTGACGCGAACAGAACCAGCCGTTGTGCTCGTCGACATCAGGAAGGCAGACGATACGGTGAACCGCGAAGTGCTGTGGTTGGTCATTGTTAAGTTTGGTTGTTACTACAAGTACGCTAAAGAATGTATACATTGAAACGGTCCTAGACAACCATAGCTTCCGTGCTCTGAGGAGGCTAATGAGGCAACTCTGTGGTAAGAGCACCTGCAGCCAGAGTGGATGTGGACAAACTAAATTCGGAGTGTAGCTCGTGTTCATCACCTCAAATCCCTCTGTGCCCTTTGATCAAAGCGATGTTCACAAGGAACTCAAAAGAGTAAAGGCAAACAAAACTAGTGATCCGGTTGCTCTCTCCCCATTAACTTTGTAAGTGTGCTGATTCTCATACTACATTTAGCAGGTCCCCTTCACAAATGCCAAAGTATGGGTGTGATCTGAGACATTTGAAGAGTTGGCAGAATAAACCAGATGCACAAAAATGGATCTAATAAGTATCGCCCCGATTTCATCCACTGCACAAGAACCTTTCAGAAAGGCGCTCTTTCTCTTCTAAGCGTACAAAAGTTAGTTATTTTCCGACATTTCATCGTATCCTAAGAATTTCTTGCCCTATGTGTCACGTTTGCTCGTTGAAAAGACGAGAGTGAGAAACAAGTTCCACGAGCGATTTTTGAATCGACAGTTGGGTGCATGTTTTCATTTTTCGCCTCGCTTAAATATTTTTACTAAGAGCATCTTCCGGTACAACCGCAGGGATAGTCTAAATGCTGAAAACGAGCTCATCGGGGTTTGTAAAGCCTACTTTGACTCGAGTTGAAGTAAATATTCGCTTAGTGGTGAGTGTAGCCGTGTGGAGAAACCTCCGATAATGTGGAAGTTCTCTCTGTAACGAAGCAAGGCTACGCCCTCGTCACTACTCTGTCATACTTAGGTAACTCACGTGCCGCCATGCGCATTCAGTCCATGTGAACACGGTGGTCACGTAGAGCACCGTATGAATGGTGGAGACTAACAAGGATCCAACGTTTCCGATCGAGATGTCTAATGTAGGAAACAGTCACGTGGGAGCTGTTGTCGGCAGACGGCTACGCTGAGTTCGCGCGCGATCAGGATGAGCTGCAACGAGCGAGGATGCGACCTGCTTCGATTACGTACAAATCCGGATTCCACACCAACGTGGGCATGTCTGTGCGTGTCGCAAACCATACCCACGGCGAGTATTCCAAGATCCAACAACGATCATCTAACCTATGTGTCAAGCGCTGTTCGCGGGCCTCTGGCCTAGTGATCAAGGCGTAAGCCGTCAATCACTATGACTCGGGCTCCAGTTTAAGCTCTAACTATCTCTCTAGTTGAAAAGTGCAGATCAGGACGAAACCGGCCGAGTGTGGAGTGCAGTGCCAAGAGAGCGGCTCTAAAACTCTTTACTGCAGAACAAATACAATTTCTGTCACCTCGAAAGCATGTATGAAAGAAATGGTAGATAATCATTAGGGCCAAGCTAATCATGCACAAAGTTTTCCCGTTATCCGGAAAAGTTTCGTCAGCAACCCCTGCGAAGAATTCTGCGCATCCGTTAGCATGGAAGCAATCCACCGGAGCGGAATGTACGAAATGCCGCTACTTTGACACTTGAGATGGTTCGGTTACATCCGCCGCAGGGATGCACCGGAATACGAAAACACCTGCTGTAGGACCAACCGAGTCCAGGCAAGCGGAATGTACACAAACGGAGCCTGTGTTCTCTGGATAGAGTGGTGGTGAGTTCGTCATGAACTAAGACGGATTCCAGGTGACAGGAAGAAACGGCAAGGAATCCTCGCGAAAGTTATGCGAGCATAATAAAATTGCGCCCCAGAAGTAACGAAAAAGTTAAATCGCATCGGGAGCAGAAGCGTTCTGCACACAATTGGTAAATGCAGATGGACAGCAGTACGTCTTCGTTGTCGTCGTACACATGGTGGCGCGGTGCACGTAGCTGTACGTGCTTCGACCGGGCTGGGATGCTAGGTCATCAAGGTGGCCGAGAGGAGTCTAGATCGAAAGAGCGATGAGTAAGTTGATGGTATCAGCGTGGCCGTAAAATGCCACTTTCGACACTATTTGCTAACCTCCTGAGAGTGAGACTAACATTGCATCGTCGTCATTGTCAGGTACAACGTGTGCAGTGAGTGTGGGTTGGCACACAGTTAACGTAGGAAGAGATGTTTACTTGGGACGACCTAAGTCACTGTATACCGCCTTTACCAAGTGCTGTTAGTGCTCCTGTCGCTTCTGACTGCGCGGTACAACCATAGGAATCAACCGTTCAAGTGCAAGTGAGAATGCAGTCAATCTGCATTGAACCAGTCTCTAATATATAGGTGTGTGTAGTGGTAACGGATCCGCGAATACTACTCGACTGTGAATGGCGGTGAAAGGAGACCGGGCCATACGCGGCTACTGAATGGTTAGGGATTGTGCAGTGTTGATGGATGCGAACACTGGCGCTGAGTGGGGTGAATGCATCGGTTCCCGTGAAGGTAGTTCGTAGCCGTGTTTCACTGTGTATTAACAGGCAGGAAAAACCTGGACAATTGCCAGTACACCTCTTCCTAAGACGTGCTGGGGGGGGGGAAGGTCGACAGACATCAGTACTGCACGCACCTTAGTTTATGTAAGAGAAAACATTCATACACTTCACTTACCTTAATACCGGATGGTTTAAAAACGCCCATCGCTCATTTGAAAATGGGAAAAACTGTTCCCATGGAAGAAATTTAGAAAAGGGTGCGGCAATAATCAACCGGGTACCCAACTCTAGCGACACAATGGATGTAGGTCCAAGTATGTCTGATTTGAAGTTGATAGGGTGGGCACTCGTCCAATTTTGGCATCCAGGTTGCTGCTGCCTCCATGAGACGACTAGTCGCTCTACTGGGAAAGACTGGGTACCGCAGTTTTCGAGACAGTGTCAGAATCCGAGACTAGTTCCATAAGGGAGCAGGATAGGGCCAAGACGTCGCCCAGGGCACGTCCGGCACATATGTTTACCCTACTGCACAACCATTGTGTGTAGTTTTGAAGAATGTGCGGCTCCCATAGACAAGTCTACAGGTCTTATTTCTTCAGAAATACAGTAAACATGCTAAGGTGTATGGATGGAGCTGTGTGCCTCATGCTTAGGTTGATGTTGCATTCAACATGCTTCTTCACCCCAGTTGGGCTACACTGACTTACACTTAGCTGGACAAAAAGTATTCCACTCCAGAAGACAGTAAGCCATTCCTGGAGGGAACGGGGAGCACGGTCCTCGTGCACTGGATATGGGGTGTGTGGGTGGCGCAGCGAAAGCCACCCATGGTCTCTCTGTAGGTGCAGGTGCCATATGACTGTCCTATGGAGGTCGCAGTGACAGGCAAATCCGGAACCGGATGCCGATAACCATAGATGGAGCTGTGGGTGGTGCAGCATGTAAAATCTGAAAGAACTTTAGTTTCCTAGGCTAGATGGATTATTCCTTCTTGATGATGCAGTGCCAATATTCCCGCCTAGTTCCGTCTTTCCGAACAAACAGCGCTTTCCACGCTTTAGACTGTTACATTCTCAAACGTGTATAGCTATTACTTCACGTTATTTGCATGCAGTTCGTCTCAAGGTCACAGTTGTATCAATCTGCTACTAAGAGTATTGTGTGACGGTTATTTGCTTGCGCCCGCTACCAGCACGTCACAAATCTGGGCGTGAGCTGTCTTGTAGATTATGCTATCCTTTATAATCACGGTTATAGGATTACCGTAAAAATTTGCCCCAACCGTTTTTTGCTCAGACGGTGCGTATAGTCTAGGCTTATACATCGAAGTTACTTTATTTAGATACAATCCGTGTGACATAACTAGAGTTAGTCGTCATTGCATAGCGTAAGCCTCTCATGATCGTTTGCAAGGTACATATAACCTTTGGATGTTAAAATTCACAGGGATGAGCAGACCAGAAAGCGACCACAGATATTTACCGACGGGTGTCTCGTACGGATGGGTCATAGGAAAAATAGGTATGACCAAGGCCGAGAATCGGACGCAGGATCTTGTCGTAGACAGATAACTCAGTTAAGAGAAAGCAATCTTCTGAGAGCGGTTAGACATCTGAACTGAGACTTCGCGACATATTTTGTGTGCATAAAGTAATTCTATGAAAAAGTAGCCTAGAAAGGCATTGAGGATTGAAAGCGCTCAAATAAAAAGCCCTCAACTAACTGGGTGTGCGAAGCAGAGTGGTGGGGAGGAATTCACTGCGGTGCACACCAGTTATCCAAGTGATCAAACAGGAGCCAACTTTCCTGAGAGTGTGTGGATGCATTCTCCGGTCTCCAGATTCCACACACGGATTGTCTCATCCGCGTTGCTCGACACCAGAATGCCCTGATTGTGACCGTACGCCATTTCGCTGGTCAGCGAACGATGTCCACAGAATAACTGCTTCAATGCACCAGTACGGGCGTCCCATACCCGGATTGTAGTGTCCAGACTTGCGCTGATGATGTGACATCCATCGTAGAGCAGAGTGTAGACGCGATTCTTGTGTCCGTTCAGTACGCGCACACAGTTCCCTGTGCGGATGCACCATAAACGCACAGTACAGTCGTAACTGCCAGAGACTACGTTGGTCCCTGTGAACTGAACGCAACGGATGGCGCCACGATGACCTAAGCCATGAATCAAAGTGAAAAGGCGATAAACTGAGCAGGTCATGAAAAAAGCGACACTAAGATCACGCATTAATTAGATAGGGAGGTTTATTGGAGGGTTATTTGTAGTACTCGTTATGTGATTGGATTATGACAAGGAAATCTTGAGGTGGACAGTGATTAGCAGTGAAACGAACCTTAGCCAATTCGGTCACTATGAACGTAGCTAGAGCATACGGCAAGTGGGTTAACCGATCGAAAACACTGCACTCCATTACGCGTTTCAATCTTGTTTGGTCTCATCAGATTGAGATAGCAGGTCTCCAAACCGGGAGAATTAGGATGTGAGGAGGCCATTTCTAAATGTGGAGCTGCGCAGCCTAGGGGCAGTGCGGAAATGTTTGGTTCAGTTGATCAACTGCGATGCGGTCGACGAAGTGCGGTGGATATAGTTGCCACAACTCACTTCGCAATGATAACGATATATAACAAGGGCAAGAGAATGGGGTTGAATGCAAATAGAGTGCAAAGAAAATTGGAATGAAAATTAACATGGAGATTCGAGAAACCGAATGGAGAAACGCCACTGACTGCATGACTAAGCCACGTCTGAAAGGGTCTTCAAAACCATTAGCGTAGACCATCCTGGGTCTCACAGCCATGAGAACAGCACGCACCAGTCTCTTCCTTCATGGCTATATATCAATGCACTGAATGGACAAGTCGTGGCTTCGCCCAACTTGGTGCAGCCAGGCCGTACAATGCATGTCGAGGAAGCCGATCAACGGACATTCGGAGAATATGAGTTAGCCAACGTAAGTGATTAAAAGTCAGTAAACACTCAAGTGAGGCACCAGAAGCCTTCTTTTGGTGAAACGAAGCGAACATAGCATGCTTTGCAAGCAGGACGTAGAGGAAAAGCATGGGCCAATAATAAGCTTGGTTAGACGTTAGTTGTGTGATTCATTTACAAGAGACACTTCGCTGCGCACGGTCAAGACTGCAGGTGGAAAAAACGACTTAGGTGAATTGATGTACTCAAAAGTGCGAGTATACATGCACAGTTCGGTTCGAATGTGTCATGAAATCAGCTATCTTGAATGGTTTCACATCGAGAAATAGCATTATGAACACGAGTAAACCATAGAAAGAAGTTAGTCAATTGAGATGAGATGGGGTGAAGAAAGGAAAGTCAGCTCGAGGGAGCGTGAGTAAGGTGTAACACACTACTAGTGAGTAGTATGGGCAAAAACGAAAAGGCGCAGGGAAAATTAAGGAAATCGTGGATCGGCGGACGAAAGATGCCTAATGGAGAAATGCACCTCCGCCGATACCTTATGGGTGATGAGGCGCAGCAGAATGGCGAGTTGGCAAGCTGCAACGAAGGAAATTCGCAAATTGGGTCTAAGTTTCCATGTTCGTACTATCATATTTAAAGGTTGGTTCTCTGGTATAGAACTCCTTTGCACCACGTCACGTCCTCAACATGGTGTCATAACCAACGGAATGAACCTGACATGCATAAGTCATTTGGTCGGGTGTCTCGGTGAACCGTTACTTTCTTGGTTCAGAGCATAACATACAAATCGAACGCATGCAGTGATTTCAGAATACATGTCTGAACCTACACCTGTCACCAGTGGCGTGTTACAGGGAAGTGTCCTTGGGTCTCTAGCTTTTAATTTTGTCAACGACATCGTTGACGCGGTAAAATTCGGTACACCACACCTGTTTGCCGATGGCAATAAAGTTGTATACCCTTCCCGTTCGAAAGCCTCCAATGATGCTGGCAATATGATACAACGCGACCTCTATCCGCTTGGAAATGTCTTTCTCTACTGACAAATGCGCAATGTCTCAAAGTGCGATTTGACTCATAGTGGCCTACGGTTAGACATCTGGGATTGTGAGATTCATGCTTACTTGACAAGTAGGATACGCAACCACAAGACAGAAAATTGGATTGGTATTTAAAACTTCCCTGCAAGAATGAATACTTCATTGTTACAACTCAGACGTTCGACCCACGTTGAAATATTGCACAAAAAGGCGGGATCGCACTGCACTGAAACTAGTAGAGAACATTCACTAAGAGCCTCCTAGGTGCTTCTTCAGAACTGGAATATTCTGAATGAGGGGTGATAAGCTTAGGCTTGACCTGGTCTGGCTACGGCGCAGCAAGCATAACCTAGTTGTATACATGACATCTTGCAGAGAAATATACGTTTCCAACCTCAACATGTCATTAATGCAATCAGCAGTTTACAACACACGAAACAAACATAACTCAGTGGCGGAATATTAAGTCCAGGACCACCAAGTCTACTAACGTTTGCCTCAATAGGTATGTCAGTCTGGAAAAGGCTACAATCCGGAATACGTGCTTGCACTCTTGAACACGAACTTCAAAAAACATCAGTAGGTTCTTGTCTGTACAGAACGTGATCAAACGGTTTGAGTGTATCACACAGCAAGCCAAGCGTACGAGCAGGGTCTAAGTTTCATATGACCTAGTGCATGTTTCATCATCAGACTGTCTCTCGTAGTTTAACTGTTTTATATGTGAAAACGATTAAAATCTATTCATCATTTCAAATCAGTCAACTATTTATTATACCTTCGTTGTCCTTCCAATCGTCAGTAGCTGCTCTGATGTGTAACCTTCCTGATCCACTTGTGATCAACGTTCTATAAAGTATGCAATTACCCGATCAGGCCGATATACGCGTGTCTCGCAGTGTCGAGAAGAAAAGTTTATTTATCTAGTTATTGGCCTTCGGAGATTCGGTAGCTCTTAACCCTCAAAGAACTCATGTGAGAACTGTGGATTCAGGGGATCACGCAGCATGTTGGTTGTTGCACCAGAGAAACGCAGAAAGTAGAATTATCGTCGAAGGTTTGCCAGAGACCGGGTGCACACTTGAGCACGCCGCGCGTGTACATTTGGCTGATGTGAAGCGCGGCAACTACTGAGTTGTAACTACCAACGGCATAAGAAGCCCCAGGAATGCAACCAACAAATAGGATACAGTTTGGCGGGAAGAGATTAACAGGAACACCAAAAATGCAAATGGAGCATATGAGATTTTGAAATAAACTAACCTCGAAAAACGTGGATGCACCGACCGGATAGTGCGTCCCACAAACGTAGTGTTGTATCACGACTACCTGTGACCACCAAGTGAGAGTCCGCTGAGTAACCCAGAGACACATCACCCGTAAGATCCGCCGATTGATCTGATAGAACTTCAAATTGTGAACGTTGTGAGCCTTTGAAGCACGCGTCAGGTAACCGGCCAGTTGCCATCCTCTCCTGCGTATGTCCCACATGTGGCATCTGAGCGGCCACACAGCGAACAGTGGACTGGTGTCCGAACAAAGTGGCAACGCACGGCCAACGAGTGCCATCGAGTAACCACACGCGGGCAGTACGGTCGCAACTACCAGAGACCAGTAAGGGCGACCCACCAGTGCCCGAAGGATTCGAGGTTAGCACCGCCAGAGACCAAACGCCTCCAACGTGCCCGAATAGATTGATGACTAGTTCACCGCGGGTTACACTCCAAATGCATATGCTTGAATCATCCGATCCGGTGATGACCCAGTCATTGTACACCTCAAGGCAGGTGATCACGTGATTCTAGGAATGGGGATAAGCAGACGATCATTTGAACAGGTCAGCAAAGTATGGTGCAACAAGGGACGGGAAACGAACTGAGAACGTGCCCACTAATAGCTGTTCGTTTGAAGCAAATTGGGAAAATGATTGCAACAGCCAAGCAGGTGCATGTGTGAAAAGCGCAGCGTCGGCAGTTACCATCGTTACTCACATGATGAGCGGGTAGAACTGTGGGGGGCCACGAACAACCCTTGCGCCAGTTACATTGAGTTTGCAAGCTTCTTCGATAGACAGCCTTCCAATTGACCTGGAACGAACGAAGAAGATAGGATATAGATTCGTCTTTCCACAATAAGTGTGAGCCACAAATGAAATGAAATCACTTCACTGACACTGAAGTCTTGATTGGTTGTCTGAACTGAGTGATTTGGTTGCAAACGTCTCGCCACCAATCGAGGTGGCATCCTCAGTGCGTAACAAACAGGTAGTGAGCATCGCGCAAATCCAACCGAGCTATGGGTATTTAGACAATGCGGATTCTGACATTATGAAACTTGGGAAAGTTGTGACAGTAGTTTTAAGTTAAATCACCAGAGGACGCTGGTTGTTAGGTGACGTCGTCATTTCATACATTCTTATAAATCGCATACAGGCAAACAATGATGTGAGGTCAATGGCGACCAAGTGTTGGCCCTTTGAAAATTTCGTGTCACTCAACAGTTTTGTACACAGAGCGGCATGCGAACTCTGACATAAACAATGGTCTCAAAGAGCTTGAGAATGCGAGGAACTTGCATGCGCATGAGGACTGTGAATGATCCTGTTGCAACAGAGTTGGGGAAACAAAAAGCAGTCAACATGAGCCTAACCCAGGCTGAAAGGCAGTTGGAAGTCATCACGGTTCGTCTTGCCAGAGGCACCTCACTAACTGGGACGTATGAGACAGCGCACTGTCGTGGTGAATAAGACAGGCGTTAGCAATCTCAGAGAAAACTCGTGAGAGCCTATTCTCCAACCGCTTAAGCACTAGGTAAAACCTAGTGCTGATCATTTGTCCTCGTGTTACAAGCTCACTCTTAGTCAAAAAGACCAATGGGCATAAAGCTCAGCTTTGAGTTGTCCATTCGAACCTTCGTTGATTGACGAGGCGGCAACTCAGGACTTTGCTTTCCGTATTCGGATAGTGCTCAAAAAACCACGATTCACCGCCGATAACAAGAAGTGCCACAAGATCAGGTTCACTCAATACGTTGTCTAACGCGAGCAATTGATACGCGATATTTCTTTTCATTGTAAATCCAAGACCTAGGAATCAATTTGGCAAATTCCAAGTGTGTGCAACTTTTTCTTGACGATTTCATGCACGATGGATTTTGAAGGTCCCACTGGATTTGCCCCCAATACAAAACTCAAAACTTGGCCAGGGTGCAAAACGACCTTCATTCTACCCGCGTGCGCGGTATTGATCCTAGATACTCAAGCTTTTTCAGGCTTTCTATGACGACGAAATACATGGGCGTTCGACGGAGCCTCTTTTCTATAGGATGTCTGTATCCTTACAAACGTCTCGGTCGCAGAGTTCTCAGGGACCGTACAAAACTAAAGCGTGTCATTGATCGACACTCTACATTTTCGTCGCTCAAGCGACACTCAAACAACTATCCAGTTCGCAAGTGATCCGCGGTGTAAAGACTGAGAAATATAAAAAAAAATCGACTACTTTCCTAACATTCTATTAACCGCCTCATGTAGCCGTTCTGATTAGGCAACTAAGTATCGTAACTTTTCACACAAAGTGTGTTACTTATGAGCGTAAATTGCTTTTCATTTTGGTCACGCGGTAGTGAATGGTGTGAGGCGGAAAACCATTAGAAAGACATGTGGGAATGATGCCTCGGATCACTAAACTGAGTGTCCTTTCTGGGCTAGGGTCAACGCGACAGACTCTGTGATAGGATGTAGATGTAGGCCCGCAGCAGTGGTGCATATGCAGTCGCATCCTAACCGGAATACCGGTTGAGGTGTACCTGATGCGGAGTTTTCTGTGGCGTAAAGGTTGGTAGTGACAAGTGGGGAAGTGTTAATCTTTACATTCACACGATAGTCAGCTTACTGTGGCTGTACGGTGCTTGCAAGGTGGAGATGATTTGATCAACATGCTCACCGCTCATTCTCTCTCCTTAACACGAAAACCGTCAGTAGCAGATTATGACTGCGTAACAGTACTATCCAAAAGCATAAAGCTACTACAAACAGGGATGAGAACAACGACGATGAATCGCTCGTATTCATCGGTAGGCGTAAGCCAAAGGATCGCGTACTTAGTTCAGAGAGGTTTGAAAACAATCGGTTTGTATAGTAATTTGGTAACGTTTCGCCTCTAACATAGAGGCTTCATCAGACCAGGTGAATCAGTGTGCGTACTTAATTAGATCGTTGATGGATGGCACGAGTTGCAGTGCTCTCATGTGGCAGCAGTTCTATTTGCCAGTTAAGCTGTGAAGGTAGTGGCATTGATCATCCACTGACGAAAATACGATTACGGCGCGGATGCCGCGATCTGGTTATGAGGCGCCAGAAGACACACTAGCATAGTGATGGATCGGCTCGAAGTATCACGGCAAAATACAATGAGGGGATGGACAGCAGACAGTAGCGGATATGTTTAGACGGGACAGAGTAGGATGCATATTGATGCTGAACATTTAAATAAGGCAGATAAGGTGCGCATGTTGTCGCACACAAGAGAAGTTGGAGACCCCCGGGGTAAGCAGTGGTGGAGACGTCGAATCCGAAGGATTTTAGACACGTTTCGGATGGTGGATTCGTGCTGTTATGGAACAACAACTAAGCGGTTGACTACTTATCACTTATCATGTTATATGTTGCGTCACATCCGCTGGTCACAACACTAAGATTTCATGCAGGATTTTCCCTTGACGAATTTCTAGACAGCAAGAAGGAACAACATTTCAAAAGGATATTCCGAACACAGATATTTCGGGTATTCTCATCAGCTGTTAACATATAATCCGTGGAATAATGGCGCTACGTTTAAAGAGAAACAACGTACAAAGTCATTCAGTTTAAAGTTGAAACAATCAAAGAACTTTACCAAGGCAATGCGAGACTGGTCATAAACTCAGTCTACTTGCACAAATAGGGTTTCAGCCTTCGAACGGCTAAAGCTTCAGCAAACTGAAGCAGGTGAGTATTGCTCTGCCGGTTAATTGTCTTGAACAGTTCAAGGGGATTTCGACATACGGAGCAATCTAGGATGTGCTTAGCAATGGAGCTAACCGGCAGTCTTGGACCATTCGCGACCACATTACGTGAAATGTGGTCTGAAATCCTAGTCGATAGCCTTCTCTAAATTCTGCCCAATTACTTGCTACCACAAGCACAATGAAAGAGGTTATTTCATGTACCAACAAAGCCCGAGTGGCTTTTCGAGAGTCAACCAACTATGGGTGGATGAAGTATCACCCCACCCGCCAATTAAGGGGCAGGGTGTGACAAATCCAATGTAATTATATGGGTGAAAGAAATGACCACTTCGCAGGGAAGACATTCGGAGATCGACCTTCTTTGATCACCGATGATTACACAGCACCGATCACATTTGATCAGACCACTAGGTGAGCACCAAAAAGTCCGTCAGTTGGTGTTTAGATCAACGGAATGATGGATTGATCAAGTGAAAACGCTTAACAACTTTCGTAGACAAAAATGATTGTATCAAGAAAAAATAACGCGTACCAGAGGACTCACCGCAAATTTCACGTGCAACGTTGTGCGGTATCTCAATATTTAAGGTTAAATAATGTAGTGCAAGCAGAGTTTTGAGTTCAGCTAAGGTTGGAGAGGAGAGGACAGAACACGGGAGTACGTTCTACGGCTAGGATGCACGAGTAGAGAAAACATGCAGGCGACATTCCAACAGGCTATCCTGTGTGGCCAATTTCAAACGGTAGCCTCTCAGCAAAATGTTGTGGCTGAGTTTCAGTACGTTTCGGTAGGAGTGGTTTGGAACCTAGGGAATCTGACACACCAAAATAAGATCACCCCGCAGAAAGAAACTCTTTGGTGTCATAATGAATAGTTTGTCACATTTCAACCACTTACGTTGTCTAGGTCATATCCTCCGTAGGCCCATTGCATTATACGCTGCTGCTTTAGCTAGTTGGGCGAAAAGGCAGAGTGGACAAACGATAATACCGCATAAAGAGAAGAAGAAATTTAGGGAAACTTTAGCACGCTGGTGCGAGTCCTCTTTTTGAATGTGGGAACCGTTGTGGTCCACATTAGTGAGTACAGGTCCCATGGGATATGATGCAGGCGTGCAGTCGATGACACTCATGTATTCGGGCTCTTGCACCCGATAAATTTTTTTTCTTGTTGTACCTAATTTTCCCAATCCTTGCTGCTTATTGTTATCTTGGCGACGCGAGTCGTGGCAATCGGATCGACCGCACCTCAGTACCCGGATCAGAGTTGTCTAATTGAACTGGACCTAAATGAACTGACCTGGTCGATGATAAATCATATCAAAAATAACATAAATTAGCGGACAACGATGACCTTAGCTGGAGCAACGACCAAAATACCGCGCTTCATACCAGTGGTGTTTCGGGCGTCACAACAGTACAGGAATCACTGTCGGTATCTACTTCAGAGCAATAAGTTGATACGGGTAATCCGAGGTGGCCAGCAGCAAAAGAGCGTGGTGAGATAGGTTTGGAGGCGTGCCCGGTGTTGTGATTGAGAGATGTGAAAAGGTCCCCGAGGATATTGCCTCGCTGACATTGTCTGAACCAAAGTAACGGGTCCGATGTGACTGTGTTCCAGTGACGAGAGACCTGTAAGTGGTTTAGAAGGAAAAGTACAAATGCGCTGAGAGTCAGAGTAAAGCGCGAAAGCGAACACAATAAGAAACTTGAGCGAAAACTGATTGTGAAGCATGGTGGATCACAAGTATCTGGAATCGGCCCAAAAAGTTTATAAAGTCAGACAAACCGTGTGGTTGCAAGGCGGCCGACTCAAGTAACAAATGACGCCAGTGGAATACAACTAAGGGGACTAGGTACAAATGAGTATCGAATTCCAGGAGGACAAGGCTGTGAAAACAATAGAGAACACTCACATGACGCAGAGCGCCAAAAAACACAAGTTAAACAATCATCGAGAGCTTTAGTTTCGATTAGCTCGGTCCGTGACATTAAGGGTTACAAGCCTGCCTTGTACTCCGGAGGTTGCGGGTTCGAGTCTGCATATAGGGGCGGACAACCCTCGCAGTATCCTTAGCTCAAACGTAACTGGTAGCGGTTGTGTGGCAACGTAGCGTTGTTACTGTGCACAGCCGTACTGTTGATGCCTTGCTGCGTACCGATTAGCAGAGTATAAGGTTTAGCAACAAAACGGGTGGCATGGTACGAGAGCGTACGATCGGGGAAAAAAACAAACTCACAAAAACAAAGGACGCGAAATATGAATCGTTGTTTGATTTGAGCAAGTCAGATAGATTTCCAAAGTTCATGACCGCTATGTAGATTCGTGGGCTGTCCTCGCTGTTCCGGTGATTAGAGCAAGGATTATTAGGAAAGGAATGGTTACATCGAAAACTGTGTTGTTTGTACAGCATTCAAACAGGCCAGTGGCCGAAGTGACGAGCTGACTGCCTTACATCACAGAGGCTACTGTCTAGAATCTGCATAGATCGTATACCTAGACCGCGCCGGACCAGCGTCGATACAGCATGCCGGTGTCATACTCATCATCCACAGCAGTAGATTAGTCATTTGAAATGAGGCACCGCGGCTATACAACCATAACGACCTACGGAAAGAAGAGTAATAAGAAGGGGAGGAGAGGGATTTACCGGAAATCCTTAATGCCCTAAGCAAACACTCAGGGTCAAGGCGCCTAGATCGCGTTATTAACATACTATCACAGACAGCTGGCTATCGTGCAAAGATAAGGCGGCATCAGCGAGACAGCTTCCTTGCGGCTTTCACTGCCCCATCTAATATTCAGCCATTACTCCGCAGACAACAAAGCACCAAACACACTTTAAACAGGCAATCCGACTAGGAGACGGCAGCAGACATGCCACTGGTGTCGGTTGCGAGCCATGTCCTGTAAAGTCTCGAGCCAAGCACATGGTGAGTCACGTGGACTCCAGTCCGGAAGGCAAAAGGGAACAACGGCACTCACTTTGGTCGTCAGTGACTTCATTTCCCGCTACCAAGTCAATTTCTGTCCACCTCGAGCCTTGCACTACCTTTTACCTTGCAGACTAAACAAGGCCCTCCTATGTAAGCGGTGACCAGATATACGTAGCAAGTGCCCAAGCCAACGCAAGGAATTCAGTGCCATCTACTGTTCTAGGGAGCTAGCATGGTTACCACTACCTAGTACTCGCCAACGCACATCATCGTTGCGGACACGCTGGTGCCAGCGGACACTAGGTAGGCATCGCAGACAATGATGATCGAAGACTTGTAGGCACCTCCGATCTTCTGATCGAAGGGGCCGAGTCTCCCTACCATAGAGTAGTACGGCCCTCAATGTGACCTTGTATACACGGTCTTTCAAACGGAGGGAAACCCCTTTCTGTCGCCAAAGATATCGTAGATGCAGAAAAGCAGTTCTGACCTTTGCAATTCGTGAACCGACCACATTTGCAATACGCCCATCGTTGCCGATGCAGATGCCAAGGTAAGTGAATGGTTCACCTACCCTGAGTGTCTCACCAGCTAGTCAAGGAATCACCAAGTGGTAGGTGGTACTGCAGCAATACGTTGCTCATTGAAGGTGCGAAGGGCATACCAAATAATGGGACCACCCTACAGGGATCATACAGGGTTGATTAAGCTGCCGTAAGGTCGTTAAATAGCATGACAATATCGTCGCATAAGTAAGCTCAACTAGCATTTCATCAAGCAGCAACCCAACGCCGAGGTCGTGAGGGTCTGCTAGAGAACGCTCCATGATGGTGTTCACGACGAAATGGAGTAAAAATGCGAAAATCGGACAACTCGGACGAACACCATTTAATGTTGGAAAGATAACCGACAGGTCCCCGTAGACCCAGACGAGGCGAGTAGTGTTAGAGTATAGAGCACGTAATATGTCCACAGATTTCATAGGAACACCTTTTCGCACAAGTTTCTCGAACAGAATGCATCGATCTACTGAACCGAACGTAACTATTGTCGGTCTGAGATATGCGTGGCGCTGCTCTAGCACCTTCCGCAGAGTGAATATATGGTCTACTCAGTCACCGCCTGAGCGGAAACCTGTTTACTCTACCCTAATCCGGGATTCCTATTCCGCAGTGACGCGACGAACGAGAAGCGAGGACAGCAATTTTGTCATCACTGGAGGAAAACGAATACCTCTGTGGTTATAGCAGACTGTTCGACTACCCTTCTAGTATATCGCCAGTATAATCGATTCATTCCAGTTAACCGGGATAGTCTCCTTCCATACATGTTCGAACATGGAGATCAGTGCTTTGCAGAGGACCTTGCCTCCATCCTTATACAGTGCGGTTGCGAGGGAATCCGGCCCAACAGCACGACAATGATTGAGGACTGTGATCGCGTTTAGGACCTCAGCCTCCGATGGAGCCACTAAATTATCCATCCATGGCTCATTCTGCATCAGTTGAGTAAAAAAATGTTCGAAGGCAGGGTGCCAGCTGGAGAAATGTTGAAAGTGCTCCTCCCAACGAGCCATACGGAGCTCCTTACCGTGAATCAAAGCACCTGCGCTGTCACTGATTGTCTCACTGACGCCAGGTTTTCTGGAAACAGTGTTGCGTAGCAGCTAGAAGAGTTTGCGGTAATTGCCTACTGTTCATGCCTCCCATTCTTGGGCCCTACCAGTCCACCAGTCTTCCTTATCAGAATGTAGACTCAACTTTAGTTCGCACTAAATAGTCCGTGTGGGTTTAAACAGATTCACCGATCTGCGAATATCCAATGACTGGAGCTGTGATGACTGATAGTTCCACAAACAGAGACTCCTGCGCCGTGCATGGTGGTCGAGATCCTATTCCACTGAAGCTCTGTGTCATTAGGACAAGACATGGAAAGTTCGGTACGCAGTGCGTTTTGACAAACTTGCCTGACCGAGGGCGCAGACAATTTCTCAGTTGGCAATCGAGAGACGCTTGGTACACCTTTGGAGAAAGTTCATAGAAAAACGAGAGCGTACCAAGGCATGATCACAGTCGGAGCAAGTACTCCAGAACGAGCGGCAACCCAGGATGGATTCACGCCACCTGTAACTTATGATAATGTGATCTATTTGGGTCCAGCGCTGGTCAGCTACAGGATTGACGCCAAGTGACACTTTGGCGCCCACTTTGTCTAAAAGCGGTGCTACTACCGGTGCGCCGTACACAGTTGTAACAGACGCTCACCGTTTCCCCTCCGTTAGGAATTAAACCCATAAGTACCACCTTATCTTTGCACGATAGCCAGCTGTTTGTGACGGTATGTTGTCTACACAAGGTGTAGGCGCCTTGACCCTGAATGTTTGCTTAGGGCATTAAGGTTTTCAGGTAAGTCCCCCTTCTCTCCCTCTTCTTATTCTTTATTTCATAGGTCCTCATGGTTGTATGGCAGCGAAGCATCAGTTCAAATGGCTGATGTACTGCTGTTGATGATGATGACTTGGTTAAGCTTCTGCAAAACACAAACGTCCTAGTTTCACATTCATATCTCATGCAATGATATCCGAACTGGTAGCATTGCGAAATAACGTGTTCAATTAGTGGCAGGTGTCCTCAGCAGCGTCAGAAATGCAGCCAGTGGGGTATAAGCGGAAATTACAAAGAGCGACTCATACTACTTCGTGAATCAACCTTAGTTGATGTGGACAAACCGGTTGCATGCAAACGGCTGTTCACTTGAATCCAATCAACCAACGATGACTCAGCCTTGGAGCTGAGAACGACACCCACACCCGCTGGGCCAGTGATTGCCGCATCAGCGTCTTCAGATGCGTGTAACCAACAACAAGAGGATAAGACGCAAGCAGGTAACTCAACAACCCCGGGAAGGCCATTGATCTCAGAGTTTGAGTTACCCAATACACGTCAATATGCAGTGTGTCCAACGTGCGTGCGAGGGCAGCCTGTTGGTCAATTCACTCTAGAGTGCAAGCGCTGAACGCCGCTGGAGAAACGGGACAGCGTGTACTTATAAAGGACTAATGCCGATAGGTGTCCAGTGGGTGGTGCGGGAAGGCAGTTGCATGGCGGCTGATGTCAATTAAGGTGTGAAGTATGGAAGGAAGCTTAGTAAGGGGGTTTGGGAGGGGAATAAGAGAAACGGGTGGAACACGAAGGAAGTCGGCAGTAGCGCATATCCTTACTTATCCGCCCTGATGTATGCAGTAGATAAGCGGTCCTTGATATTCTGGGCGACGACCGATGCAGGATGCAGTTGAAGTTCAGAGATAGTCATGGCTGCATGTGGGCGGAGATACTGCTAGGGCGCCCAGACTTAGACAGACGAACGATAAGGGTCCTCAACCAAAGCCTTTCGCTCAAAAGCCTGTCCGTAAGGCACCGGAGAAGTGGCAATGATTTAATGTTACAAAATGGATGTCATTCCATTTCAAATCACCAATCTGGAGGATCAGGAGACCCCGTTTGACTGATTTCTAACCATTGACAAACCTAGTAGGTATAGGTCTCAAAGCGCCTTGGGACACCACCCAGTACAGCTCAATGGGTCAAGCCTCGTTGCGACGGACGTGCCGGTGTACTGCTAATGCTTTATGTGGTAAGTCCATATTTGGTGCGCTGAGTAAAAAAATATTCACAAGCATTCCAGAAAAAGTAAGCAAAACAAAGAGACATACCGTACGAAAAACTTCAGGGGCGTCGGAGTTTCATCCTGATCCGCAATGACCCAGCGCATTGAAAGGATAGCTCAATGACAGAGTGAACACAATGCGAAGAATACTAAGGCATCAGCAGTACGCAGTACCGACGCTTCGCTGCCACGTAACCAACAACAGTCGCATGTTGGCTAAAGGTACTGCGAGGGTCGTCCGGTCCTTACGCAGGCTCGAACCCGTGTCCTAGGATTACAAGGCAGGTTTGTGACCCAGAAGGCTACGGACCGGCACAATACGAAAAGGCAACCCTTGGCTGGCAAACAGTGATTATTCCCGTTGAAACTATCGGTCACTGGCCCCCAAAATTCACCCGTCACCTGAGGAGGCGTGATAATGTCGTTCAAGTATTGTCTCGTGCCAACCGGGCAAATGATCATAGTGTAGGCCACCAGTTTTAAAGTAGTCGTCTTGATACTGGGGGAAATGCAACTTTAATGGAGAGCATTAAAATGACTGTCTACCATGAGCGGTGTAAGAAGTGCAGAACATAGATCTTGGTCGAGGACAGTCTATGCGCCGAATAATTTCGATTTAACGGGTAGTTGATAGTTTGATGTAAGGGTAACATTGAGACCAGTGGATACATAATCGTAGATGGAGACAGACTTGTGGACCAGAAAGAGAAGAGAGTGCAACTGTTCGGTAGATAGCTGGGTTGCATTTGGTTCGCCGACGTTGTTTCGTATTGCAATTCGTATGGCCATTTATGTTTCACGGATCGTGAGAACAGGTATCGAGCAGGTGAATTTACAGTTGCGAAGTTAGTCGAAGCGAGAAGTATGATCAGTATACGTGTGCGCACAACTGCATGATGGAAATTGTGGTAGGCACTCCAGATTCATTGATACAGTCAAGTTGGATCCGGAGCAATCTGCTCTTCGATGGTCGACTTGCAACGCTGACATAGATGTTAAGATGATCACACAACGTAAGAAAGCGGTCGGCACTGTCAGTGCGACAAATATGGATGTCAAAACGTTCACTGAGGTAGCGCTCTAATTACTATGGCCGGTCGACTTCAACAGTCACTAGTGACGCTCGTTCTTGTAGCTGTTAGCATAAGGGATAAGAGCTGCTCACAAGATTTACTTTCGATAGCCTACGAGAGCACACACAGCAACGACCGGTAGTTCCCCTACGATCGTCCAAGAGCATCGGTGCAACCATTTAGTAGGATTCATTAGGGAAAAATGACCTCCACAGATCTGTCAACAGCGACACTGGGAATGTCGTAGGCCAATCGCATGGCATCATCGGAGATACCAAGCGTGTAAGCCATATCACTGAAACCCGAGTTGCTTGGCTAGGGGGAACCTGGATGTTTCTGACGGCTTCGTACTCTCCTAGAATACTTCTGACAACGAGTTTATGCGACTCATACCCATCGTCATAATTGCCACCAAAGACATCGAAATTGTAACATATCGTAGCTATCATGGTCATAAAGGCAAGCAAGCCACCAGTTCAGTACATTTTACAAACGCATCTATGCACCGAGGTGAGGCAGATGCAGGTGCTTTGATAAAACACCACTTAAATATTGTTATCAACTTCAATACTTTTACATCAGAGAAGATGTGCAACCATTGACGTAGTTGGTTCCGAGGTCCTCATCTACGAAGGCGACGTGGAGTAGGTAGACTGCTTTAGCTAGCAACAAAGGCTGCGTGACTGCTGAGATCAATTCACGTATTGAAACTCAGCACAGTATTAATGACCTTGTGACATCTATGGCGGCAGGATGGGCGGTTCTTTTCTATGGGAGAGAGAATTGGCACCATTGGACTGTGGATCTGAACTGTCCAAGGCTCCGATTATGGTTGCCTAAGGAGCAGTGCTAGTACCGGATGACATCACTGTGTCCTTAAAGAAGTGGAGTTGATCAGATTCGCTCTTTAGAGTAACACACAGACACGAGTGAGTTGCGTTGGGTCTGGTGCACGCTACGTAAGCACGCTCGTCCCTTATCGAAGTGTTTTGTTTGTAGGATATTAGATGGCACAAATCCGAGGGAGCGCAGGGATCTGACCTAGCAAAAGGAAATGAAGTCGCTGACGGGTTAGAGTCCACGGGACCTACTTTGTGGCTGGCTCGACACTACAACACTTGGCTCAATCGGCACCAGTAGCTCGCCTGCTATAGCCTCCCAACCGTACTACATGTTTAAGATGTGCCTGATGTTGCTTGCAGAGTGAAGACTAACTAAGACGCAGGCGGTGGAAGCCACAAGGAAGATGTTTCGCTTATGCCACCTTATCTGCGCAGGACAGTCATCTGATTGTGATCGTATGTTCTTGACAAAGTGCAGGTGCTTGAGTTTTGTACTAGCCCGTTTCCTGTGGGATTTGGTAAATCCTAATGCACTACGATACACCAAGGCTATATGGCAGCAAAGCGCCAGTTCAGACCACCAGCATACTGCTGCTGATGGTGAAGACGATAGGGATAGAAACAGCAAAGTCAGAGGTGCCGAAAAATTAATTCCGTATTTCATAAAAAAGATAACTTTAGGCTTAAGAACATTCTAAACACAGCGCCGTTCATCATCATTGTTACTTGAAGGCAAAAACATAAGTTATCGTTTCGAAATACAAATCAATAAGATGGTAGTAAAAAAGACACGACAAGTAAAAAATAATACAATAAGGAATAAATGAAACGAAAATAAGTTTAGACTGTTTTATATTATGCATCGATGATGCCAGCGCACTTAGAAAGGGGGGCCAGACGAAGGTTACTGAGATCAACTCCACTTCAAATCAACAATTGCACCCAACCAAACGTGCTCATCGTCTTCGGGAGACAGTAAGCCAAGTCATCGGCTGGACTCCCCCCGGTCGAGCCATCGTACAAAAACACCCTGGTCACTAATGTTCCTAGCGGGTTCTGAAGTATCCCGGCTAGTGAATTAGTGTTTATGCACCTTTTACAAGCAAACGTCCTACACCAGAATAGTTTTCGCAAACACAGTCAGACAGCCCTGAGACTATGAGGAATTACATTTGCTTTTTCAGAGGACCGCAGTCAAGTTGCATCGTAATTGAACATAGGTTGATGGAAACCGTTTGTAAGAGGTATGCAATGCTGGCGGAAACTTGCACCACTCCGCAAAAGAAATAGACCTGAAGTACCTGCAAACTGTTGCGTAGACAATGATAGTGAAAACTGTCGCTACAGCGTAGTTCGGAATCCGGATGATATATAATTAAAGTAAGCTCTGTGCACCAGGTAAAACATAACCAATAAGCGTTTCCACACCAAACAATGAATTACCTTGGCACAGTTCAGTAGGTCACGTGTGGGCAAGTAGGATAAGATTCGTAAGGAAACTTCCAGTGGAAGCTGGCGTATGAAGTCCCGCTTTAATAAAGGTTCAATCACTTGCCGAAGGAAGACCAATTCGGGATGTGAACAGGTGTTAACGATAGCAGACAATTCACTGAAACGGCTATTCGAAGAGACTGTTGATTGGATTGGATCAACACTAGGAGTATGTGTATCACAGTGTGAAATTGCGCTCCGTTTCCTCTATGATCCTTTTCGGAAAGAAAATGCAAATTTTACCTGGTGAATGCAAAATCAGAAAAAAACGAGAGAAAGATGGAACATACTGAGTATCATCGCAGACATCTATGCCGTGCTCAAGAAACGCTGGGCTAAAACTCGACTTTGCGTTTATCGGACTTGCGTTTAGTGCTCGCCTACAGAAAAAGTGTATATGCGGAAACTTACTTCATAGGAGAGTAGGTTTATCCGATATTTGTTTTGAACCAGATCAACGGTCATTTCATTGTTAGGTCAGTCACAAACTAAAAATAGAATGAGCGGTAGTAATGCACAGACGCTGCCAAGTGACAAAAGTGTTAAGCGATGGTGGTTTCAAATTTTCTAGTGATGGAAAAGCGAAACAGCAGTCAAGTCTGTTAGTATCAAGATAATCGTGAAACATACTGAGCAGTGGTAGACCGACCACAAGGCGCCCATCCACCAATAAGGATCGATACGAGTTACAAAAGCTGATAACCGAGGAGGTGGACTGTTGAAGGCTTTCATCATTCATCATCAGTATACACGTTAGCTATATGTGGAAAACACCTCAGCTATTGGGCCGAAATACATAAGTAAAGAAAAAACAAGTCTGCAACCGAGACATGTCAGCTGAGCCACCAGTAATGGATGGGCATCGTTCCAGAAAGCTACCAGCCGGTATTGTGCCGCAAAAAAGTTATATTATGCAAAATTTAGGAAGAGATCGTGGTTGCAAGGGGAGGATAAGCGGGAGGGAAAAAGAAACTCCCAATACAAACGCCATGACAGTAAGTGTATCCAGCCAAACGTATTCATCTTTCGGGTCCTAGTCAGGGAGCCGAGAGGCTCCAACCGAGGCCAACTTTGAACTAAGGGCCTACATTTCTCTTGCCCAAGTCATCGTTTGGCCACCTCTCCTCTTCTTCCATCCACACCCTCAGCGCAAAAACAAAGCACGTCGCAGGTGTCCATGCGCTAGCATGCGCAACGTGGCCCAACCACCGAAGCCTGGTGTGTGAAATGGCGGTGCTGAGCGATTCTTTTCTTCTTCCTGTGCCATAAACAAGGAGTCTAACACGCTCATTGCTTTCGTACAGAGCTGTATCGATAGTAGACCAAGCAATGTGCGACTATCCATCGCACAAAGTGCATTGCGCGGCTTTCGAGCAAGAATTGGTTTATCGGGAAGCAGAAAGCGAGAGGAAAGACCCGTGTCAGCTCCGAAGATGCCGATTCGTTGCAGAATTGACGCAACTGACTGCGAGTAGGCATTCATATGGGGATCGTCGTCGTTCCAGTAGGATCAGCAATATCCTGCCTCATTTATTGGGTTGTAGAGAGCAGAAGAGAGGCCATTCGTCAACTCCATCAGTTCCCGATCATTGTGCGGATGTCTCGATTCGTTGAGAAACGGGATTCCACAGGGGGTGTTGCAGTTGCATTGAAAGCAGCAAGACCCCGGCATACTCATTAGATGGAAAGCTAACAGTCGCTTAAAACATTTCTCTGTAAGTGCATCGACGACTTGCTGGGGTAAGGAGTTTCAGTCGTTTACCACACGAGTAGACAGGGCAAGTTTGGTATTTACTCCGATCCACCGCAATTTAAACAGCTTCCAGTTATGCCCACGAGTCAGGCCCTCAGAGTTCAGCCAAAAGAAACCTTGAAGTTCAGCTCCCAGCTATCCTCTTAGAATACGTCGAGTGAAAATCAGATCTCCACGGTGGCGATGATAGTCCAGGTAGAACAGGTTCATCCAATGTAGCCGAAAGGGAGATGAGAGATTCCGTAATTCCTGGACACCTTTCGATCCGCGTCGCTGAATTTTCTGAATCAGGCGGTATTCGGTCCTCGTGAGAAGATAGGCGACAGACAATCCATACTTGAGAATCGGCCTCACGTGGGAGGGAAACGGAAGCTTGAAGATGTTTGGCGTCAATCGGGAGAAGACTCTTTGTATAGCATGGAACATCTTAATGGCTGAGGCAACCCTCTTCAAGATGTGCTGAGTTGTTCGTAGGTCAGGAGACAGAAGTATGCCAAGGTCCCTCTATTGACAAGCATTTTTGAGCAAGAACCCACCAATATGATAAACTCATCGGATGACAATCTAGAAGCTTTTTTAAATTTTCTTTGTTCGTGCGTCGATAATGTTCACCGGTAAGCTATTTCAAGCATACACTACGTGGATTGATAGGACAGTGTCTGAGCGGACGTGAAGTACTTTTCGTTTGTACAATTTCCATTTGTGGCCCCATGTTGGCGGCGTACTGCTGATGCCCCTTTATCGTGTCGTCCCGTAACCTTAAGAATCGTAAGCCTGCCTTGTAATCTGAGGGCACGGGTTCGGGCCTGCGTAGGCACCAGGCCACCCTAGCAACATCCTTAGCCCATGTGCGACTGGTGGTGAATGCGCTGCAACGAAGAGTCAGTACCGCATACCGGCGTACTGCTGATGGCTCTCCCGTGCCGACATGCCCACAGTTAGCCGAAAGTGTTGTCGTAGCTCACTCTCAAGCTGTCCTCTTAGGATCCGTCTTGTGTATATAAGATCTCCTCGACGAACAACTTTAGCTTCCGAAATCGAAGAGGCCAGGTAAGATCTCCAAGCTTCGTGATAGATTTCGAGCGGCGTCTATGAATGTTTTCCGGTAGGGCGCATTCGAAAGAGGATGGGTAACTGGAGTTCCAAACGTCTGTATCGGGCAAATGTGTAGTGAAGAGGGTTCTGAAAATCTCAAGAGTGATTCAGTAGAACGATCGTAAAGCACACAGCATCCTGTTGGTGGCCGTAACCTTCCCCAGTGTGTCAGGTGAAGCTTCTTTAAGCACACCCCCGGATAATTCTGGTAGGACATTTTTAAGAAGACATCTGCCGATGTGATATATACCGAGCGGATCGGGTCACCAATCGGTAGAACGGCGCATTTGTCGTGGTTTGCCGTGAGTTCTCGGTCAATGGCAGAAAGGATTGCACGTCTGGACTGCAATCCGCAGATCACAGGTTCGAACCCGCGATCGGTAGTGGTCGCGTGGCAGAGAAGCGTCGGTACAGTGTGCCGGTATACTGCTGATGGCTTTCCTTTTTTCTCGCTGGAAGTTACCATCTGATGGCCCAGTCGTGTAGCTAGTCTTACGCTATTTGCATTATGTCACCGTCCCCAAGGCTAGGTTTTACTGATCATAGCTTGAAGTCACCTGTATAGACTAAGCAGTCGGTCTGAAGAGTTTCTTGGGGGCCATTAGTATACAGCTTGAAGTGTTTTTGCCTAAGGACGAGGTCTTGTGAAATGCCAGTAGTCATAGATACAAGAGCGGAGAGGGTTAGGTTGGTGGCCATTTTAGATATAAATAAATTGTATATTTCGTTTTCGGCGAGACGCCTGTGACGGCATGTTCAGGTAAAAAAAGCATTTTCTAGTTCAACGACCATGAATAATCGAAATATGTACAACCATAATGAAAATAGTTTTTCAATTTTGATAAGATATCAAAGTCGCCTGTTATTTCAATGTGTTACATGACGTTGTTTGGAAGGTCTCTTGAGAATATTAATACAGAAAGGTATAAAGTAGGTGTCAATTTTAAAGCAGAATTTAGGGAACACGCTGTGTGGTTGGGTTGCGACTCGCAACCTCTATAGAGACCTCGGTTCGCTTTGAGGTAAACCTCGGTCATTGCGATCTCGAGCACTGTACCCGGAATGGAAATAGATAGGTGTTGCACTTCCCAACGTGCCAGCATTGGGAAGAGCAACATCCATCTATTTCCATTCTAAATGTCAATTTTCTTCTAACACATTTGAAGGCTGCTTTGTTCATGGCTATTTAGTAGTCTTGAATTCTGGTAGTGGCACTTACTTGAAACCGGAGCAAGAGGAGCATTTATAATAGATAAAACGTAAGAGTAAACTGTAATAAAGTAGTAGAGACATCGGCAATGAAGCCGGAGAATGTGGTATGTATGAATGACTTCCTCCCTCATAACACACTTGTTGGTGACAACTTTGTCGCTGGAAGAAAGATGAGGAGGGTGAGTAGAAGGACCTTACTATTACAATATTCGCTCTGAGTTGTAGACTGGTTTCTGGATCATAAAAATCCTGGATCTAGTTCGTATGCTTGGCTGTTCGTTATGGGACATCCCAATAGGTGGATCACATTTTGCACGGTCAAGTAGTTGCTGGTCTTTTTTTGAAATTCCTACTCTGAAATGCTAGCACGGATATCGGTTGACAATCTGTTTCAGATTCGTACATATCTGTTAAAGAAGAAGTTAGCGGATCTAGTGGTCTTCGACCTGCATTCCACTACCGAATGTTCATTATTTCCTGTGTTGTAGGGTGGGGATTATAGTATTGCCATGTCAAAGTTGGAAACATGTATTTTCTTGCGCAGGATGTTATAGAATATGATTAGGCTGTGCTTCATTCGCCTCAACCAGACGGGATCGAGTTTGAGTTTTTCACACTGCTCGGAATATTCTGATTTCTCGAGCGGTCCGGTCCTACAAAAAGTCCGCAATTCAAGAAAGGACGCTTCCAATGACATCAGTTCCCCGGAGTTTAAGAAAATACCGTTTGTGTGGGAATTTGTCCAACGCCTTATCGAATTCAATGGAGAAAGCATCCATATATTTCTATTCATCTACTGTTTTGACTCATGCTTCTCTAGCAACCAGCACGTTAGAGATGCAAGAGCGTGCTCTATGGAATCCATGCTGAGCGGGTGAGATAGCGCGCAAAGCTTCGCTCCGGATGGGGAAGACACACTTGACGATCCTTTCCATGATCTTACAGGCAAGTGACCTCAAGCATATCAGCCGATAATTAGTAGGATCGTGCCGGTTCCCTACTTTTTAATTAAGCACCATAATCCCCAAATCCCAGTCAGGTGATAGGCGACCGTGCGCCGGAATACTTGTTGCACTGGATTGGCAATGTGTTGGGCTACCATCTTGAAGAAAAAATAGTATAGTCCATCAGAGCCTGGTGCGGAGTGTGGATTAAGATCAAGAAATCCCATGACTAGCACGAGGCTGATTTCGACTTGCAAGAGGGGATAATATGTTGACAAGTCGTCAGTGTGTAAGGGCGGCTCCAC